GTCCTCCACAACTAGACTGAAGAACAAAAGGACAGCAACTTGTCTGTTCCCCGTCCCCAATTCCCCAACACTGTTCCCTCCCCCAATTCCCCCAATAAAATCTTAAAAACAAAAAAAAAAGGCAGCCTGTAGAATGGAGAGAATATTTGTAAGTCATGTATCTGATAAGGAGTTAATATGCAAGATATATAGGGAACTCATACCACTTAATAACAAAAACCCAAAAAAAACCCAAAGATCTAATTTTTAAAATGGGCAGAAGATCTGAATAGACATTTTTCCAGAGACACACAAATGGCTGACAGGTACATGAAAAGGTGTTCAACATTTCTCATCATCAGGGAAATGCAAATCAAAACCACTGTGACATATCACCTCACACCTGTGAGGATGGCCAATATCAAAGAGACATAACGAGTGCTGGTAAAGGTATGGAGAAAGGGAACTCGCAGAGACTGTTGGTGGGAATGTAAATTGGTGCAGTCACTATGGAAAACAGGATGGAGGTTCCCCCAAAAATTAAATATAGAGCTACCGTATGAGCCAGCCATCCCACCTCTGGGTATCTAACCAAAGGAAATGAAACCAGTATCTCAAAGAGGTGCCTGCACTCCCGTGTCCATTGCAGCGTTATTCACAGCTGCCAAGACGTGGAAACAACCTAAGCGTCCATCCACAAGTGAACGGATAAAGAAAATGGGGTAGATATATATATATATGACATAATGAAATATTTTGCCATGAGAAAGAAATCTTACCATTTATGACAACATGGATGGACCCTGAGTGCATTATACTAAGTGAAATAAATCAGAGAAAGACAAATACGATATCTGTGGAATCTAAAGAAGTCAAACTCAATGGAAACAGCAGAACATTGGTCAGGAGGCGTTGTGGAGGGAAGAAGTGGGAAGATGATGGTCAAAGGGCACAGACTTCCAGTGATAAGATGAGTAAGTTCGGAGGATCTAATGTGTAACATGTGACTATCGTCAACAGTACTGTATTGTATGCTTGAAAGTTGCTAAGATAGGAAACCTTAAACGTTCTCACCATGGAAAAGCAAAGGTAATCATGTGAGGTGATGAAAGCATTAGCTAATGCTACTGAGGTAAACATGTCACGATCTATAAGTATCGAATCATCACATTGTACGCCTTAAACTTACAGTGTTATGTGTCTACTA